GTACCTACGATTTTACGACTTTGTGTTATATATCTACTACATTATTTTTCTAATTCTTCAGATGTTTTGATAGTAATTCTGCTATTCTGGGTAGAGACAAATATAACCAATCAAAAATCATTAAAATGAGTCCATCCGATCTTGACTTATAACTTGTGAAACTAAAACGATTTAGTTTTATATATAAAGATAAACTTTCATGTATTATTACTAGGTCCTGGATATGCTTCACCTCAAGATGCCATGAAAAATGGACCAAGGGAAGAGCTTTTGTATGTAGTATGTGTCCAACCAAATGGAGGCAAAGGCAAATCGGATCTGTTGGCAACTGTGGATGTCGATCCGAATTCTCCAACATATTGTCAGGTGAATGATACTACATAATAAGTATATCAATAATATATGAATGGTTCACTATACTATATCAATCCAACAAACAAAGCACTCCAAACAACGAGAGATGCGTGATCAAAGCATGATCACAATGCACATTTGCTTTTAATAGGTAAAATAAATAAGCCTCCTTACGCTGGCCAATCAGATTTACTTGTAATCGGCTGGCAGAATTCATTGTTTCAGGTATATCGCTATAGTGTCGGAGTGGTCAGTTACGTTTTAACTTCTGTGGTGTGTACGAATACGGTATTTTAGAATTTAAAACTTTCAAAATGTCAAGTACTGATACGGCTGAAGAACCTGCTAATCTGTGTCCTTACACTTCACCTAAAATAGACAAAAAAANTGTTTTGTTTGTCATTATGTCTTTCTCATTGTAATAATTTTCAACAACTTTTGATCTTCCAATAATTTGATTGATGTCAATGTTTTCTAAAAGTTTTTGTCATTCGCCTCCTAATCAGAGGAAGCTTATCAGGAGAAATCCTGTTTTTTGAATCTCCACCCCAGTCTGCATCCAGTCTCCATCTGCATAACTATACAGAGTTGAATTGACTCTTTGTGGAATAACTTGCATAAGTTTCAAAGTTTGTGTACTTTTCGTATAATTCCTAACTATAATTCTTATAAACTTAACACTTCTGTCCAATCTTTATACGTCGGACCACTTAGTTTTATACTCAAAATTGAAGTACATATTGAAATATAGCTATGAACAGAAACGATCCAATAGCTCTTTTGTATTAATTTCATCAGTAAAACGTCTGTAATTTCAAAATAATCTAAAAAATATTCGATATACTTTGGCATCCATCATTTTGAAGTCTTCTAGAACTCAATTTATATAAGTTGACTGGTGCATGGACTGAAAATTCAACTCGAATATAGAAGAGAGGCTATCTCCAACCTTTCTCCGATGTTCCAGACTATCAAGGTTACAAGTGATGTTCGCGCTTCCAGTGAGGCGGGTGACTCTTTGCTGGATGGAATCGAGCAGCTTCAGGGTATATTTGGGGGCGGGTATACATGAGAACAATACTCCAAAGAAGGTCTGATCTGAGCTTTATAAAGCATCAAAGGTTGCTGAGGTGTGTACAGTTTTCTGGTTTGGAACAGTGTTCCAAGCTTTTGAGAAGCATCCCTTACAATTCCAGCATCATGATTGTCCAAGACATATTGGTGTCCATTTCAACCCTCAACAAACTTATCGAAGCAGAAAGCTGAATTGTCTGTCCTGATATTATTATATTCGGTTCGGAGAGATTTACCTTTTTGAAGAAAACCGATGCCTGTGTTTTCGTGGCATTGAATTGAATCTGGTTAGTTTCACTGCAATTCGAAATCACTTCTAGATCCTCATTAAGATATGGAACCTCCTGCCTGATGAAGATGTGCATCCGCAGCCGATGTCCTGGAATCCAAATGGAATGACGTAACAAGTGTGCTGTCAACAGCAGAGCAATGTATCGGATTCTTGATTTTTTCCAATAAGTCGTTGATATACAATAAAAGAGTGTTGGAGACAATATGAATCCCTGGATTGAAAGTATTCGAGAGATATCCATCGAGGCCACTTGCAGGGAATGTTCATTCAGGAAGCAGGAGAGCCATACACAAAAATCCGACAAGCCATAGCATCGAAATTTGGCCAGCAAACACGGCCACACATAGTCAAAAGCCTTAGAAATAATAAGCTCATCAGCTCTTAACTCTCCATGTTTCTCGATTGCGTTATTCCAAATATGGTTGAGATACGATAGGAGGCCGCCTGTTGATCTTTGTTTCCGAAAGCCATATTGATGATCGCTCAAGATGTTGAAGCCTTCCAAATATTTAAGGTATGTAGTTATTTGAAAGATTTTTTCTTGCCGTTTTTGGGAATTGGCTGAGCGCGGGAGTTCTTCCAACAAAAAAAACCCTCTTTGTAAGACAGGTTGAAAGGTTTACAAAATTCTGGTGTGAGTTTATTTGCGCACTTTTTAAGTACGATGACGGGCACTTCTTAGGACCACACGCCTTGTTGATACTAGGCTGTTTCAAAATTCTCCTGATTAGACGTTATCGAAAAGTAATTTCTGGCATTGTGGATTCTAGTGTGGAAATAGTGGATGGTGCTTTTCCAATAAAATCGACTGTGGAGTGGAACGCAAATTGTTCAACTAGTAGATTTGCTTTTTCTATGGCTGTTGTTGCAATCGAACCATCCGCTTGTGTTATTGGTGGAATTGTGGATTTTGTAAATTTTGATTAACAGCTTTAGCTACCGACCAGAAGGATCTAGAACCGTTGGGACTGGCAAGCAACTCATCCTTAATTCTCTGACAGTGAAGTTATTTGCATTCATTTATTTCAAGTTTGCAGCTGTTGTGAGCATCAATAAACCTAGTTCGGTTTTTGGCACTGGGATGTTTGCGCCACTGCCGGAAGGGGATATTTTTGGAAGCAACAGCTTGCTCGCAATTTTTGTTGAACCAAGGTTTGACGTTAGAAGTTCGTTTCATTTAAAAAGGAATATATGCATCCATGAATGACAGAATCATTTCCCGTGACATCAGAAGTACAAGATAATGGATCATTATAGCTGAAACAAACATCTAGCTAGGGGAAATTTCGGAAAAGGTCTTAAAGATCGTCCCACTCAGCAGATCTGTAATGCCAAACTTTGCGCGGCTTAGATTGTTCCCCAGTATTTATCGGTAATTCACTCAACACTGAAATGAGTTTGTGGTAAGAAGATCCTAATGGAGAGCTTACGGTGACTGTGTAAAGTTCTGGATTGGTTGTTAGACTGGATAGTGATTTTTCAAATCAAAAAAATATTTTGTATTGGACGAGTTTTCTTAGGGTGAAAACATGTGGCCTGAATTACCACTAGTATTGAAATCAACATTATCAGTTAAAAGTTGAAATATTGCTTTCCCCAATTTATTTCATACAGCAGGAATTAATTCAACATTACATTAAGAGTAGGTCAACTTGCTAATGTTCATTCT